CTTAAAACTATTTATCCATTTATACACTTAAATAACGATTTGTGCAAAATTGTTAGTTCCCATATTTCTTTGAATGATATCATTTCTTAGCTTTGTTTATTAACATTCATAACAAATAGTTTAATCATTGTTGACAGATAATATCATTCGCAATCAAATAATGTCATTTAATAATAATATGGCTTCCCCCCTCTCTATTTGTTATATCTTGCTCCGTTAGGACCACATATTTATTTACCAACTTTCACCTTTTATTTTAGTTTCTTTTTCTCAAATATATAGTTTTGTTGCAGTACTTATAATAATATTGGGGAATCATAGAAGATTTTTGATATCTTGGGACAAACAATATCCAGAAGCTGCTCGCAACAATCCGACGGGTAGGGAATATAGGGACGAACTAGAAATGTTTAGATAGAGCTAGATCTAACATTGACTAGGTAAGCATCCTATAATAAGAGGAATAATGAAGGGAGAAACCCAATTGGTAAAACCACAAGGTAAAATCAAATTTTAATTTCAATTGACATAAAATATTTAAAATATGAAATATAGTAACTATAAGTGAGATAACTCTGATGCCAAAACCTTGCTAAGGTGGTAAACATGAAGACTTACTCGAGTATTGACCTAAGTTCAAGCATCCTCTGGAAGGATAAAAGTGAAATTTATTTTATTTTGAAAAAAAAAAGTTGATAATGTCAAAAAAAATTAAAATTAGTATTCTTCTAAAGAATACAATTTTCTCCATTTTCTAGTGCTCAAGTAGGAAATATGGATGAATCACTTTTATAATGTTAGTCTAAAGAAAGTCTTCATGATGTCTTGTTCTGTAGAGCTATTTTTGTTGAATTAAGTACTAAGTATCTTCAAGTCTAATTATAATGATATGATACTAGCAACAACAACAGCAAGTAAATTGTCACATTTGAAAATGGCTTAAAATGATACCAACAATAAAAGTGAGAAAATGTTCCAACTCTAACAGTTATAATCATAACAACAAAAACTAGCTAAAAACCATCCATTTACGTTTCTTTATCTTTTCCCTCTCATTGTGGACATACATTTTCTCTCCATCTCTTTTGAATAGGAGGCTTCGACTATTACTGCTGTTGACATCCGAACTCCGATCTAGTATAAACAGCTCGTTAACCCCACTTCAGTTAAACGTAAGTTCGGCCCACACCCCCAGGTCGGAGTTACTCGTCGTTATCTTAGAAAAATATTATGATTACCCATTGTCACATCGCCCTATCAATCAGATACACTTGCCAAAGGTGGCGTCATCGTCGCCCGACAACCAATTCCAAGTCTTCGAACTCCAGCCCCTTACAGGTCATCATTACCTGGGTAATACATTGACACATGACCACCAACTTCATCGACCAATCGTAGGAGAATTCGGCGACTAGAGTTCCGAGCTCAGTACTGTTGCTGATTTGATTGATTTGATGTAATTTCAGCTGAAACTATGTATAAATAGTTGAATAGGACCCTTGTAAAAGCAGAGCAAATTCATATAGCGATTATGGCATAATCACACTAAAATGACATATTTGTGATCTTTTCTAAGCATCAATCGCCTTTTTTCTTAAAGTTGGTTCAAAATTATCCTTGCTAATTTTGACATCAACAGTTTGGCGCTAGAAGGAGGGCCTCTAATTGTGAAAAATAGTTTCATTTGCTCCATAAAAAAATTTCAAGAGCCATGAGTCAAAGCTCAAGTTCCAAAAATCCATCTCACACCCACCCTCATGAAATGAATATACCACTGAGTTCTCCACAACAGCAGGACCCTCAAATGATCGCAATGAGGGAAGCCCTAGAAAAACTGACAAATGCAGCGATACGACTGGAAAGGAGCCAAGCACATTCGTCCCCACCAGATACAGAGGTAGAATCCCCTGTAAGAACAAAGGCAAAGCGTCCCCCCACCAGGAGAACTCTCCACTTTTCAAGAGGAGAATCATCAAGAAGCCAAACCAACAAGGTAAAAAGTAAGGAACCTGAGGCGAGAAGGACTGCAAGTGTGTTCGATAGATTGGGGACCCATCACTCGCTGACCCCTACGCAAGGACAAACCGACATGAAACGTCCTTTGGAACAAACAGAACCTGAACTAAGCGCGCTTAAAAAATGCATTGTCGAACTGGAGGCTAAAAATAAAGGTGGCACGCAAGGTTACCAAACCAAACGACATTCTCCCTTCACCGAGGATGTCCTTATAGAACCACTGCCTGAAAAATTGAAAATTTCCCAGATCGCCGCATACGAAGGGACTACAGGGAGCAAGCAATGCAATCATGTGCCCAGCATTTCCCCTGACTCTAGGAGACAAAGCCCAAAGATGGTTTAGGAGACTACACGAAAGGTTGGTAAAGGATTGGAATGATCTGGCCACGACATTCTTAGCCCAGTTTATGGGCTCCAAGGCTAGAACTACACCCAAAGAACGCCTAGTGAGCATCAAGCAGGGAAGAAGTGAATCCCTCAAAAGCTATCTAAGTAGGTTCAACAAGCAATCCAAGGAAGTGAAAAAAATATCTGACGATGCGGCACTCATGGCCGTATTAGCAGGACTAAGACCCAAAACTAGATTCTGGTGATCAGTACACGAGGACGGCCCAAGAACTTATCATGAGTTCCTGAATCAAGCTAAGAAATACATAAGCGCAGAAGAAACAACTTCTGACCAAGAGGAAGCAAGACGCAAAAATTGACCTCGGTGATGTGGTGAAAGAAAAAACCCAAGTCGCAGTCCCCAGCCAGAAAGAAAGAAGGACAAGAGAGAAAGAGAACATCCTAGGGCTCAGCCATACAAGTTCCGAAAGTACCACCTCCTCAAAACCTCTTTGAAAGAGGTATTCACGCAAGCCAATACAAAAGAAGCATTTCGCAGACATATAGTCCTAAAGGATGGACAGGCCGCACAACGCCAGAAACGATACTGCCGATACCATAGGACGATGGGCCATGACACTGATAACTGTCGGGGACTTAAAAGTGGAAGTTGAATCCTTAATTCGACGAGGTCGGTTACAGGAGTTTGTTGCCAAGCCAAAAGAAGCAGATCGAGTTACGACGCAGCAACCACTGCTACAAAGGGGGCCCCCACATGAGCCCAATAGGCAATCCCTAATCGTAACCCAACTGCACATGCCGAAATCAAAATGATGGTAGGCGGAAATAAGTATATTGAAGGATCCAAAAGGGCCAGGCGAAGGCAAGCCCGAAGTGCAAAAATCGTGCCGAACTACTGGAATCAAATCCCTAGGACCGGCATTGACCCTGAATCGTTCTGGTTCATGGAAGAAGAGTCTAAAGGAATCCTTCAAGACCGGAGTGACGCCCTAGTGATCACAATGAAGTTCGGTCAACATACTGTACTCGCGAACCTTAAGGCTGTTGGAAATATCAATCCGCTACCTCCAACCGTATCCAAGGAAGCTACCGGGATTTTCTAAGGATCCTATCGAAGCCCTAGGTCAGATAGTCCTTATTGTGGAGCTGGGCGAAGCTCCTCGCCAAAGAAGAATCTTTACGGATTTTGTGGTGGTCGATTTACCATCCAATTACAATGCAATATTGGGACGGCCCATTTTACATGAACTAAAGATTGCCACATCAATTTATCATTATTGTGTGAAATTCCCCACCCCTTATGGGACTGGAATTATCCAAGGGGATCAAGCCACTACAAGGGCCTGCAATGTCGACCTGCCAAGGCCACAAGTCAACATGCTAAGGAGTAGGACAAACACACAAGCGGAGGAAGCCAGGCCAAAGAGACCAATCATTATAGATCTCTCGGAGATCGGCATAACGGAAAAGAATCTCAAAAAAGCCACAGACGAGCAACTATCCTTTGATGAGAAGGTGGCAGACCCATACCCTTACCACGGAGTTATGGTAGTCTCATTGCCTGTGGCCGGGGTAACCATCTCCAAAGTATTGGTGGATACAGGAAGCTCTTTGAACATCCTATTCAGCCACACCCTTAAATGGATAGGTATCCCTGCTAACTTTCTTCGACCATACCCAAATATGGTCTTATGATTAAGTGGAGCCTTGACTTCTGCCAAAGGATCAATCAAACTCAAAGTTGAGTCTAGATCAGCAACTCGACAGTTGAAGACGAACTCCGAGTTCGTGGTATTCGACACCCCCTCCCCTTATGACGCTATGATGGGACAGCCCCTACTCTTCAGCCTGAGAGCAGCAGTTTCCCTATATCACTATTCTATCAAGTTTTCCACACTCCATGGTGTGGGGAAAGTCAAAGAAAACAGGGAGCTCGCTGAAAGATGTCAATGAAAAACTTGTGCCAACCATCAACGCAGCTCCCCGGGGGTACATATGGCAAACATATGGAAATCCGAACTCATTCCCTTAGACCCACGGACCAGGATCGAAGGCGGAGACCCCGTTGAAGAACTAGAAGGAGTTCAAGTCTATGCCAAGAACTAAACAAAGGAACTCAAAGTCGGGTGCGAGTTGCAGCCCTCCACCCAAAGCAAGATTGTGGCTTTCTTTAAAGAAAACCTCGATGTCTTCGCCTGGGATCACATTGACATGAGAGGAATAGATCCTAATATTTTATGCCACAATTACAGGTGGATCCTTCAGTTCGGCCAAAGCAGCAAAAACGACGATCTCTGAACCCTGAAAGATATGAAGTACTCAACAAAGAGGTACAAAAGCTGTTGAACAATGGTTTCCTCCATGAAGTGAAATACCCGAAGTAGGCCGCGAATCCGGTCCTTGTGAAAAAACACAACAGAGATTGGAGGGTATGCATAGATTTCACCGATCTCAACAAAACATGCCCCAAAGACAGCTTTCCATTACCGATGTACGGCCCAGATCAGGAACATACCTCGTTTGTAACTGATCGAGGTCTTTACTGCTACAAAGTAATGTCATTCGATCTCAAAAATGCTAGCGCCACCTACCAGTGACTTGTGAATTCCATGTTTTCCCAACAGATCAGAAAGACAATGGAAGTGTATGTTGACGATATGCTGGTCAAAAGCATCAAGGCCAAGGACCACTGTCAACACCTAACCGAAATGTTTGATATACTGAGGAAGTATGAAATGAAGTTGAACATGAGGAAATGTGCTTTCAGGGTCAGTTCTGGAATATTCCTAGGTTACATTGTAAACAACCGAGAAATCGAGGCAAACCCTAATAAAATACAAGCTATCATCCAAATGAAGCCTCCAACCAAACCCAGAGAAGTACAAAGTTTAATCGGAGGGGTTGCCGCCCTCAGTCAGTTCGTCTCCAAATTTACGGACCACTGCAAACCCGTCTTTGACACGTTACGAGGAGGAAAGAAGTTCAAATGGACAAAAGAATGCCAGGACGCCTTTAACGAGCTAAAGAGACAACTATTCCGACCTCCGGTGCTTTCAAAACCTAAGGTAGGCGAGGCCTTGAAGATATATTTATCTGTTTCAGAGCATGCCATTAGTGTCGTTCTAACCCGAGAAGAAAATGGCGTTCAACATCCAGTTTATTATGTAAGCAAAGCGCTTCACGAAGTCGATCTCAGATATTTGGCTGTAGAAAAACTGGCACTCACCCTACTGATGGAAGCGCGAAAACTGAGGCCATATTTCTTGAAACACCCCATTGAGGTCCTTACCAACTCTCCATTGAGGCAAACGCTACAAAGGCCCGACACCTCTGGATGGATGGTAAAATGGGCAGTATAGCTCGGACAATTCGACATCAAATACACGCTTCATTCCTCCATAAAGGGCCAGGCACTCACCGACTTTGCCTCTGAGTTCTGCAACGTCCCAATTGAAGAATGGCAGAAAGAAACCCCTCGGAAACTTTATGTCGACAGTTCATCCACCGGAGAACGATCTGGAGCCGGCGTCGTATTAATCAGCCCTGATCACCGCATGTTCTGCGAAGCCTTTCCATTTGACTTCAAAGCCTTAAATAATGAGGCTGAGTACGAAGCTCTTATTGCTGGATCAAGGATGGCCTCAGGACTAGGGATCTCCGACCTAATCCTACACAACGACTCCCAACTAGTCATAAATCAGGTCAACGGTGTATATATGGCGAAAGAAGATAAGTTGGACAACTACCTACGAGTTGTGAAAAAAGAACTTGAAAGGTTCAATACCACCCAAGTCAAACAAATTCCTCGATCTCAGAACAATCACGCCGATAGACTGGCCTGCCTAGCCACTAGTGAGGGAATCAAGGAGTTCGATAGCATCCCCGTTGGAAGAATATCCCTACTGTCCACCGAGCTGGATAAAGTGGTCCTTATGATGATAGATCCCAAGCCAACTTGGCAGGACAAGATCATCGCTTACCTGAAAATCGAAAAATACCCCGAAAACTCTGTAGAGGCTAGAAAGCTCTGAACAAGGTCGGCCAGGTACACTCTTATTGATAATATACTATACAAACGGGGATATTCCATGCCCTTGTTAAGGTGCTTGAACGAAGAGGAAGCTCAGCACGCCCTGCAAGACGTTCATGAAGGAATGTGGAAACCATTCCGGCGGACTCTCACTAGCCCACAAGATCATAGACAAGGATACTTTTGGGCTGTAATAAGACGAGATTCTCTTGAATTTGTCAAAAGATGCGATAAGTGCCACGCCTCGCCCCCATTATAAATACTCCACCGTGCGAACTGAACCCAGTAACAGCACCTTGGCCCTTTGCAAAATGGGGGGTTGACATAATTGGACCCATGCCCGTTGGAAAAGAAAGGGTAAAATTCGCCATCGTCGCGATGGATGACTTCACTAAATGGGCCGAGGCAGAGCCCCTTGCCATCATCACCGAACAGAAAACAACCAACTTTTTGTGGAAATCAGTGATCTGCAGGTTCGGCATACCTCACTCCATTGTTACAGATAATGAAAAATAGTTCAACAATGCACGACTTTCGAATTTCTGCGAAGAGCTCGGCATCAAGAAACATTTCTCATCACCAAACCATCCACAGGCAAACGGCCAAGTCGAAGCCATTAACAAGATTATTAAGCACACATTGAAAGCAAAACTCGACTTGTTTAAAGGAGGATGGGCCGAAAAACTCCCCAGTGTGTTATGGTCTTATCGTACTACTGCAAGTACAAGCACAGGAGGCCGTGATCCCACTAGAAATCAACATTCCTTCACTGCGCATAACTGATTACAACGAAGAAAGGAATCACATGGCTCTTCACATGAAACTCGACCTAACCGAGGAAAAAAGGAACAACGCTGAACTCAAAAATGTCGTTTACAAACAACGGAACGCCAAGTACTATAAACAAAAAGTGCAAAAAAGAGAATTTGAGGTAGGATCCCTCGTCTTACGGAAAGTATTCCTCTCCCCAAGAGAGATAGACAGTGGATGCCCGGGTTCAAATTGGGAAGGTCCCTATCTGATAACGAAGGTCCTGCTAAAAGGAGCATATGAACTGGAAGACTTGGGGGGTAGATCCTTACCCCATCCTTGGAATGTTGAACACACCTTAAGCAATACTACCAGTAAATAGAAAAAGTCCCCTTGTAATGTCAATCACATCAATAAAAAGGGACTTTCCATTTTTTTGAACATTTTACTCAGCAATCTGTCAGAATCTCATATACAGGCCAATCTAAGGTCGTATGTGCTGCGACACTTAGTGAAAGATTCCTCCTAAGGAATCTCATAAAGCCTTGCTCCATATGCAGGCCGATCTAAGGACGTATGTGATGCGACACTTAGTGAAAGATTCTTCCTAAGGAATCTCCCCTCCTAAGGAATCTATAAAGCCCTGCTCTTCACGCAGGACGAGCTAAGGCCGTACATGGTACTACACTTAGTAAAAATGCCCAATGTATATGCTTGGTTCGGAAAGCGAGTACTGCACAACTAAGTAAAATTCATTCAAAGTAATTCTACACATTATTGTAACGCTCTTACAATTTTTGCTAAGTCTGTGAAGAAAAACCGTGCTGAACATAAACAATTATCCATTCTAAACAAAATGTCATAAACAGTCAAAACAAAGTTCAATCGCAAGTCAAAAAAGAAATTGACAAACTAAAATACCAAAAATCAATATTTTTAATCACCTAAGGGTCTTGGGGCTGGGGTAGTATCTTCAACATCCTTAGCTACCGGTAAGACCTAGATTCCAGCAGACTCCGACAGCCTCCGCAACTCCTCCTTCTGTCCCTCCAGTGCCTCATCCAGAAAGGCCACGTCAAGATCAGGCCTCTCCTTCCTGATGTGCCCTACCAACTCCTCCAGGGCTACGACGTCAAACTCGGAGGACTACTTCCAGGCCTCCACCGCTCTATCAATCTTGGCCTCAGCCTCTTCAACCCTTTTTGTGGCTGTCTCGTCCTTTCGTTGGCCTCTTGTACCTTCTGGATGGCCTCTCTGACTTTGCCGCGTTCCTTTTCTGCCCGAGCTCTGGCCTCTTCCTCCGAGGCCCTCGACGCCTTGATCTTCTCCATCAGTCTCTCCTCGACATCGAGCCTGGAGTTCAACTCGATCCCCATCCGGTTCAGCTTCTCCTTATACTCTTTCTCCCTCAGAGCGAACTGGGCTTTTTCAGCCTCCATGCTATTGTAAAGATTGAAGGCCTGAGTTTGTCCAGCTCGGACTTCACCTGTTTTTCAAAAATAAAAAAAGTAAGTCATTAAAATAGTTATAAAATTAATCAAAAATCAAGTAAGAGGTATACCTTATCCGCCACTGCTATCATGTATAAAACTGATCGGTGGCCATGGAGCTGAGCAGTGACCAAGGCCTCACCAATGGGCATCTCGTTGAGATAGCCTTGCTCTCTCTCACCCTAGCTCCGGGTAAGTAGATTGGCCGACTTCCTCAAAGGTGAAGTGAGCGTGGTAGTCATTCCCCTGGAAGGAGAAGGAGCTCAGAGATAGTCCAAAAATATTTCTGGTCTGTGTCCCACTAGACTTTCCCAGATCGACCTCTGTAAATCTGGGCACCAATCCTGCAAGTTCGCAGAATTGGTCCCGACAGCAGAAGGGGCAGTCGGGAATGGCAACGAGGGGGATGGCAGGGTCGGGCTTGGCAAAGGCACTGCCTCAGGAATTCTCAGTGATGTCGGGGGCGCAGATCGGTTCCTCTTCAATGGAACGTCCTCTTCCACCTCTTCAGAACAGCTCTCCATCTGTTCTGGGACTTCTCTCTTCTTTCCCTTAGCCGCAGCCGTCGCCTTAGCTGCCTTGTAGCTTCACATTTCATCCTAATGATCTGAAGAAGCAGTGAAATGCTCAAAAAATATGTATATACATAAAAAAATCACAACCGCGAATGAAGATCAAAATATTACCTGAACTGGATGGAGCCAAACTTGAAGCTCGTACTTCAAGCAATCCAGCCCAGTATAAGTTCGAATCTGAGATTACAAACTTACAGGACCTTTGTTGTTTAGATAATGATCTTATTACCTCAGCTCATCTCTGTATATCTTTGGTTAACGTCTCCTTCTTGTAATCTGCACAAAGAAAAAATACCGAGGTCAGTACTTCGTCAAACATACGCCTTGCTAAAAGACTAATACCCAAAAAGACACTTACATAACGAATGATAGAGCCTGGGAACCACGTCCTCCCTATTCACCTCGATAGAATGAAACTGCCACTCCCCCGATACATAAAACCATTCTTCCTTCCATTTCTTAATTGAGGAAGGGGTGTTAAACACCAGAGAACCTCCCATCCTGGACCTAGCGCTTATGTACCACCAGTCCGAGTTCTTCCCATCCTTCTTAAAAGTAAACAGAGAATCGAACTGCTGGACACTTAGCTTGGGATTTCCCATTTGGTTCCATAGAATAAGGGTGGCTATTAACGTTCGTCACCTGTTAGGGCATAATTGCGTGGGATCTATGCCCCAAGAAGAAAAGAATTTACGAATCACCCTAGGAAAAGGAAGCCTAAGACCAGCCTGAAGGATAGCCAAGTTCAAAGCAACACATCCCTCAGGAGGAGTGTCAGCTCGGTCAGATGGCTCTAGTATTATCATAACTACCGAACTAGGAATGGCGTATTTAGCTCGCCAACTGGCTAACACATCCCTTGTCACAACCGACCTACAAGAACTCACCCCCCACTCTCCAGAATTACTCTCCTCAACATCCTTACTGGATCTACCTGCTCCCTTGGAACCCTCACGTCCTAAGTCCATCACAGGACGCCCTAAGTCAGTCGGGTTAATTACGAAAATAAGAATGGGGGTAAAAACTTCCCTACAACTAGAAGGCGAACTCGTCGAGAAGGAGACTGACTCTTCCTACTGGTTACCCCAGGAATGAACTCTAGACTCGTCCGAACTCATGTATAAACTAGGACAAGAAGCACAAACTGAAAGGAGGCAGCAGATAAGAAAAGAAGGATACCTGGGAAACAAACTGGGAAAAGGACCTCACTCGAATACAGGAATACGAACTTAGGAAATCGCCCAAATATTTGAGAAAGTAAAACCAGCGAAATAAGAAGAGAAATGATTGACCAAAAATGGATTTAAAGAAAGGGAAGATGAGAGGGCGCGATCTGAGCCGTTCATCCAGAAATAGAGGGAAAATATCAACGGTCCAAAAGTCTAGGAGACAAAACGACTTAGTTTTGGCCAAGCTTGCTAAAGAAGATACTTATAAATGGCGTACAGCTCATCTACCTCAAAAGATGACACTTGTCACAGCAATAAATGTACTTCTTGGAGAAAGTATCACTGAGGTCAGCCCCCTACAGTAGAGCTGACCTGGGGGTAACTGTTGACATCCGAACTCCGATTTAGTATAAACAGCTCGCTAACCCCACCTCAGTTAAACGTAAGTTGGGTAATACATTGACACATGACCACCGACTTTATCGACCAATCGCAGGAGAATTTGGCGACCCGAGTTCCGAGCTCAGCACTGTTGCTGATTTGATTGATTTAATGTAATTTCAGCTGAAACAATGTATAAATAGTTGAATAGGACCCTTGTAAAAGCAGAGCGAATTGATATAACGACTTATGGCGCAATCACACTAAAATGACATCTTTGTGATCTTTTCTAAGCATCAATCACATTTTTTCTTAAAGTTAGTTCAAAATTATCCTTACTAATTTTGACATCAACAACTGCAAAAAAAATGGGAATTAAGAAATTTTGCATAAGTGGTCTATTAATTGTGTAAATGGAGGCCATAAGTGCTTTTCATTAAAATATCTATATGTTTACTGGAAAGATTAAATAGAAACCATTCAATATGTCTCTTCACACAAAATCAATAGACTGAAGGGGGTTAGCGCCAAGAATAGAAGTTTAGGGACCATTTGTGCACAAGGACCATATGTTAGGGACCACTTGTGCCAACTTCCCTTTAATTGCTGCCACACTAACTTTGTAGATAGTGGATT